TGTATTAAATTTTTCGAAAATTGTCATAATTTTATGTATTTGTTATAACCCCAGAGGAAAACAAAATGAACATTGTTTTTAGAACGAGTTGTGTTTTGTTGTTTTTATGCCTTTTAATTGTGTGTTTATAAATCAGAGAAAACAAGAGCATGAGACAGAGAGAGAGAGAGAGAGAGAGAGAGAAAAGTGCCATGCAACAGTATTTATTTCTTTTTATACCCTACACCACATTGTGGTAAGGGTATGATGTCTTTGTGCATTTGTTTGTAACATGGTGAAGGAAGCGGGATAGACTCATAGTTTTTTGAGGATCTTCACAGAATCACTTTCTGAGTCCGTCTGTCAATGTATTCTTGTGAAAAAATGCAGGTCGCATTTATTATCCGACCGAGACAAAATTTCCCAAACAATTGGACGAACTTTGTTGAAACTGGTGAGAATCGGTTCAAATTTATGTATGGCTCCCATATATATCTTCAACTGATTTCGGGTTAATTGTGCGTCAAATTACCAATATCTGTCTAAATGACCTAAATTTTGTCACATCCGACCGAATTCAGTCTAGAATAAAGTACATCAAATTTTGAGAAAATCGGTTCCGATTTGGTGTTTAAGTGCCTCACATGTACTCCCCAGAAGAATGATATTTACTACCAGATATCAGATACAGTCCAGAACTACCTATGCCAAATTTCATCAATATCGGCTAAGATTTGGATATAGCTCTAATAAATATCTTCAACCGATTCCGGATTATTTGTGCACCAAATGGCCATTATCAGTCCAAATGACCTGAATTTTGGTACATCCAACCGAGTTGAGTCTAGAAGCATTTACATCAAATTTCGTGAAAATTGGTTCAGATATAGCTTTAGCTACCATATATGTGTTTCATTCCGATTCGGTGTTTAAGTCCCTCACATTCGTAATGTGCACTCCACAGGAATCATATATCATGGTACCATATATCAGATACATCCCAGAAATACCTCTGCCAAATTTTATAAATATCGGTTCAGATTTAGATATAGCTCATATATCTTTAACATACTTCGGGCTAATTGTGCACCAATTGGCCATTATCAGTCCAAATGACCAGAATTGTGGCACATCCGACCGAATTCAGTCTAGAAGCAAGTACATCAAATTTGGTGAAAATCGGTTCAGATACAGCTTTAGCTACCATATATATTTCATTCCTATTTGGTGTTTAAGTCCCTCTCATTCGTAATGTGCACTCCACAAGAATCATATATAATGGTACCATATATCAGATACATCCCAGAAATACATCTGCCAATTTTTATCGATATCGGATAAGATTTGGATATAGCTCTAATAAATATCTTTAACCGATTTCGGGTTAATTATGCACCAAATGGCCAATATGAGTCCAAATGACCTGAATTTTGGCACAGTCTCGAAGCAAGTATAAGAAATTTGGTGAAAATCGGTTTAAATATAGCTATAGCTCTCATATACATGTTTCATCCGATTTGGTATTTAAGTCCCTCACATTCGTAATGTGCACTCCACAAGAATGATATTTGGTACCAGATTTCAGATACAGCCCAGAAATAACTTTGCCAAATTTTATCGATATCGGCTAAGATTTGGATATAGCTCCCACATATATCCTTAATCCGATTTCAGGTTTATTGTACAAATAATAAGCTTAACCAGAGTGAATTTTAGGACGTACGCTTCCATTTGGCGGAACTCGGGTACGATACATATTTTTATTCCCTGAGCCATATGGCTAGTTATACCCTCAGTAATATGGCTACAGAGGGTACATATCATTAGATACGGCCAAAACTTGACTCATCGAAATAACGGTTTTAGACCCTAGGTCTCTTTGGACCAAATCCGTTTTAGGACATATGGAGTTAATATAGCTGTTGCGCACGATAACTTTCGAAAGGAGTATCCGATTTAATCCAAACTTGGTACATCGTAATATTATTGTCTAACTTAGATCGAGTTCGGAAATGGGCAGCATCAGTCCATTCCTTCTGGTACCTCCCCCACAAAATGTCAACATTTTCAAAGAAAATAATTAACTGCACAGAAAGAGAAAGGATAATCCGATTTTGCTCGAACTTTGCAAATCCTCATATTTTTATCAGTGCTAGGTCATGTGCGAAAATGGACAATATCGGTCCACTCCATCAGGGACCTCCCCCACAAAGTGTCAAAATTTTGAATAATTAAAGCTCTTATAAAATGTGATGTAAGAGTCCGATAGTCTTCAAATTCCACACATCCCAATAATTTTATTAGCCCAAGGTCTGGTGCGAGAACGGAATGTATCGGTCCACTCCTTCTGGTATCTCCCCCACAAAAGGTCGAAATTTTCAAAAAATTATTATTTGCACAAAAAGATAAACCATAATCCGATTTTGCTCGAACTTTGCAAATCCTCATATTTTCATCAATGCTAGGTCATGTGCGAAAATGGGCAATATCGGTCCACTCCATCTAGTACCTCCCCCACAAAGGGTCAAAATTTTGAATAATCACAACTCTTATAAAATGTGATGAAAGAGACCGATTGTCTTCAAATTTCACACATCCCAATATTTTTATTAACACAAGGTCTGGTGTTAAGAGGCAATACATCGGTCCACTTCTTTTGGTACCTCCCCCACAAAAGGTCAAAATTTTCAAAAAAATATATATATATAAAATTTATTTTTTGCACAGAAAGAGAAACGATTGGCCGATTTTGTTCTGTCTTTGCAAATCTTAATATTTGCGTCAGTGCTAGCTCGGGTGCGAAAATGGACAGTATCGGTCCTCTCTATCCAGTACATCTCACAAAAAGAGTCAACATTTTGAATAATTATAACTCTTATAAAATGTGATCTAATCGTCTTCAAATTACGCACATCAAAATATTTGTATTTACCCAAGGTCTGGTGTGAAGATGGAATATATCGGTCCACTACTTCTGGTACCTCCCCCACAGAGGGTCTGTATTTTGAATATCCATGAAGCTGATAAAACACGAAATTAACATCCGATACTATTGAGACTTGACACATTTCACTACTTCCATTCTCTTCAAATTACACACATCACAATTTTTTTAACCCAAGGTTTAGTGTGATGATGGGATATTTCGGTCCACTTCTTCTGTTACCTCCCCCACAAAGGGTCTGAATTTTGAATATTCATGAAGCTCATAAAACACGACATTTACATCCGATTCTATTGAGACTTGGCACATTTCACTACTTCCATCAAGAGAAGATCTGTTATAAAGATGGTAAAGATCGGACCATTCCTTCGGGTACCTGCCCCACAAAGGGGTCAAAGTTTTAAATAACAAAAACGATCATAAAATCCGAAATAAGCATCCGGTTCTCTTCAAATTACACACATCACAATTTTTTACTAACCCAAGGTCTGGTGTGAAGATGGGATATATCGGTCCATTGAAATTCCAAAAAGTGCAAGAACTTACACCGCAACAGAAAGAAAATAGACTCAAAAGAGCTAAAGAGTTGCTTCGCTTGGCCGAAGGTAGAGAACTGCCGAATTTGGTTTTCTCTGATGAGAAAACATTCATTGTCCAGCAGTTTGTAAACAAACAAAATGATCGTGTTTACTTGCCAAAGAGGTCAGCTGAAAATGTGAACCTTCGGTTGGCCACCAGACCTCAAGCGCCGGCCATGGTGATGGTGTGGGCCGCCATTATAGCCGATGGTCGCTCTCCGCTCGTATTAATCGACCGTGGCATCAGCATAAATGCCGAATATTATCGCGAAAATATTCTGGAGGGTGTATTAAAGCCTTGTGCACGCAAACATTTTGGCCGCAGAACTTGGACATTCCAAGAGGACTCAGCACCCGCCACCCAAGAATTGTTACAAAATGAGGTTCCTTGTTTCATTTCCAGCGCACAATGGCCCCAAAATCTCATGATACCAATCTGTTGGACTATTGTGTCTGGAGTATTTTGGAAAGCAAGGTTGGCACTAAAAAATACCAAAGTGTCGATCACCTCAAGCAAGCGCTTCGTCGGGAATGGGCCAAAATATCGCAGGGCCATAATACGTGATAAGGTGACCAATTCAAACAAATTTAAACTTATTCTAAAATTTGATGCTATTTCCGACATTATTTGCTTTCATTCAATAAAATTTAAAAAAAAGTAAAAATTATGGCGTTTGACTTTGTGGCAGTTTTTTTTATCCCACCCTCAATTCGATTTCAGGTTTATTGTGAAAATAATGGCTAATAAAAGCCCAAATGGAGTGAATTTCAGGACGTACGTTACCGTTTAGCGAAACTCGGCTCCGATACATATTTTTTAATATAATACTTCTCGAAGTGATATCATGCACTCTATAGTTAGTGAAAATCGATTCAGAATTGGATATGCCTCCCATATATTTTAGTTCCCTCTGAAACCAAACAATAACTTCTCTAAAGCCAAATGTTGATAGGTGGTATGATCTACTTCCAAATAAATTATTTTGTTACGGGAATTCTACTAAATATGCATAGTGGTGTAGGGTATCATATAGTCGGCCCTGCTCGACTTTTGACTTTTTCTTATTGGTTCTTTCTGAGCAATCCCCAGAGATTTGGGATAATAATGTTGTTATTCAGATTGTATATGTTTAAATGAGAATGAGAGGATAAGTGAGAAATAGAGAGAGAGACTTTGTGTTGTCTGCACGATAATGTTTTAAGTGTTCTGATCCCCAGTGTATCGCATGCAATGTATCTCCGACATGTTGGCAATTGTATCATTTATGTGAAATTATAATACGAAACTCTCCGAGGATGGGTATTGTGAGAAATCAAGAAAGCAAAAGGAAAGAATAACAAACAAAAAAACCAACAACAAAACGGTATATATGTTAATAGGATTTTAAGTTAAGTGTCAGAATGCAAAAGCACACACACACACACACACAGAGACAAACAACTTAACACTTTAAGCCTTTCGTATCGACTTTTGTATCCTCTTTCAATACCAAACTTGCCTTTTGTTGCAAATGATGAGAAGGATGCTGCAGCTGTTGTTGTTGTGGTGGCGCCTGTAGCTGTTGTTGTTTCCCTGCCCCCGGCAGCGGTGATGTGGAGGCCGGAAGTCCGGGTGAGTGTTTAATATTCTGTGCCATGACTGTTTTATTGCAACCAAATGGCGATGCTGCATTTAAGCCAACATTCATGGATGACATTAAACTTTTCACACTGTCCATATCGTTGACGGCGGACGAGTCGGGTTGCTTGTCGCCACCAGCCTCCAGCATGGGATAGTAGTGGGAGGAGTGTCGTCGCACAACTACATTTGCATTGACCGGCAATAGAGCCACTGAGTTACACTGTTCCTGTTGTTTGTCATAGAAATCCAAGAGGGAGCTGTGCGGCAAGGCCAAACTGGAGGCACGTTCCGAACTGATGGTCGATTTTGTTGTCCACATCGTCGTCGTTTTTATTATTAAGTTAGTAAGTGATTAAAACAATAACAAAAGTTAGACACAAAATGAATACCAGAAACAAAAAGAACCAGACACAGAGAGGGAGAGAGAGAGGGAGAGAGGGAGGAAGAGAATAACAACACAATTTGTTAGATGATTGAGAGCTTAACTTTTGCTCGTTTACCGCTTAGTTAGTTGGTGCAATATGTTGCTGTGATTAATTATGGCCAAGTGCGTGTTCGTTAATCGTTGCGATTGGTGGTCAATCGTTGGAACAACTCTGACAACTGACTCGCTTACAAAACTAATCAATCAATTGTCGAACTATTATAGTGTGGAGCGTAACTTACCGCTGTTTTTGTTTATCGCCCAGAAACTGTTGATGATGCTGTTCGTTAACGCTTAAACGCTGTTTGTCCATTGCTAGCGTTGCCATATTATTGTAAATCGTCATTGAAAATCGAACTTAACTGGAATGAGATGTAGAAGGAGGAGGGGTGATGGGTTAGTAATTTGTTATTAAAGGATACAAGGAATCCAGAATAAATTAATTTAACGGAACTAACGTTCTATGGGACTTTAATAAACTTCGAATAGAAAATATGTAGACATCAAGATTTCGGTAACTTTTATTCGAGATATGTTAAAGTACTCTGGTAGATAATTTTTCATGTCTTGTAAGGGTCTGTAGGATATATTCAACTTTGCCTTAATAAGACTTGTTGTTTTGTATGGAAAGTTTTTTTTTTGTGAAGAAGACCTCCAGAAATCGGATATTTATAGAAAATCTCTACAAAGTGTTTATAGAAAACTTAGGGAAGATAATCTATGTATAAGATACCTGTAAAAGATGTTCTATGTATTGGAGACTTATGGGAGGCTATATATGTATAAAAGACCTCTTGAGCCCTTCTGTATGTGCAAAATATTTGGGAGGTCTCCAGCCATTACAAGTCCTTCGGTCTGTTTTAGACTTGTAAAGGGTCTTCTCTTATAAAAGGGCAAGTAAATGAGCCTTTAAAAGTCTTCTTTTTCGGAAACCCGGTTTTCCGAACTCTTATCAATCAAAGAGATGGGGTAGGCCTTTGGTTTATGTAAAACTTGTGGAAGGTCATCTATAGAAGTCATGGGAAAATACATCTATCAATAGAAGAGCAGTGGGAGGAATTATGTTTTTGAACCCCTGTCAAATGTCGTCTATTCCAAACAGAACTGTGAAAGGCCTTCTAAACACAGAGGCCTGTGGAAGAACTTCTATCCGCAGACGACCTGTAAATCGTCGTCTATCCATAGAAGGACTGTGGTGGGTCTTTTGTCCACAGAAAATCTGTGAAAGTTCTTCTATCCATAGAAGATTTTTAGAAGACGTGTAGAAACGTTTCTATTTACAGAAGACCTGTGGAAAGTACTCTATTCACAGAAGACCCGGGCAGGGTATTTTATCCATAGAAGACCTGTGGAAGGTCCAATATCAAAAGAAGAAATGCGCAAGCTCTTTTATTCAAATAAGACCTGTTGAAGGTCTATGGAGGGTCTTCAAACCACTAAAAGCCTGTGGAAGGTCTTTTATCTGCACATGACCACAGAAGACATGGTCTTCTATCTACAGATGACCGATGGAAGATATTCCATCCCATGAAGACCTAAAGACCTTTTATTGAAGAATCCACAGAAGACCTGTTGAAGGTCTTCCATCCATAGGAGGCCTGTGGGGGGTCTTGTGGAAGGTCTTCTATTAATAGAAGACCTGTGGGAGAACCTCCATCCACAGACGAGCTGTGCAAGCTCTTCCAGATGTAGAAGACCTTTAGAAGGTCACAACAAAAAGTTTCACAAAAAACATGTGGAAGATCTTCTATCTATAGAAAATCTCTGGAAGGTCTTTAATCTATCTACAGCAGATCTGTACACAGAAGACCTGTGGAACGTGTTCCATCCACAGATGACCTGTGAAATGTCTGCTATCAATAGACTTCTTAAAGGTAGACCCAAAAGGGTAATCCTCCGGGTCAAGGAAGATTCTCCTAGCCCATAACCTTCGGCTCATAGGGGAAATTCCCTGGACCATGGGCGGATTTCCGGCCTGTGGAAGATATTTTATTCCACAAAAGATTTGTTTATCAAGGTTGTGTGTAAAAGGCATGGGGAAGTTATACGGGCTATAGAAAACTTCATTCCTTAGATGGAACATCTGTGATAGGTCTCCTGCTTTCAGAAGCCCCGTAAAATATCTACATTCTGTACCAGACATGTGGAAAGACTTCTGTTTGTGAGAGATCGGAAAAATCGTGGTAATATTGATGTGAACTGGAAAATAGTTTTCAATTGAATTGACCCTTTCGAATTAGTCCTTTGTGGCGAAGGAGCCGATCAGCCTCATACTCACACTAGAGTTAGTATTGGTGGTGGTAAGCATCGAATTAGTTCGCGTTTCATGAAAGAAAATAATTATTTAAGATTTAGACCGTGTGTGGGAAAGGTACCAGAAGCAGTGGAACGATATACCTCATATCCACATCATATCTTGGGTTGGTAGAAATATTGAGATATACGAAGTTTGAAGATAATCGCTAACTTGATTCGCATGTTTTGAATTGACCACTAAAGTGTTTTTCCTTTACTGAATGAACCTGCTCTTCTATACGGACCTGCTCTTCTAAACGGACCTGCTCTTCTAAACGGACCTGCTCTTCTATACGGACCTTCTCTACTACACGGACCTTCTCTACTACACGGACCTTCTCTACTACACGGACCTCCTCTTCTGTACGGACCTCCTCGTCTATACGAACCCCCCGTCTATACGGACCTCCTCATCTATACGGACCTCCTCATCTATACGGACCTCCTCGTCTATACGGACCTCCTCATCTATACGGACCTCCTCCTCTTTTATACTGACCTCGAGCGAGGCTCCTCCTCTTCTATAGGAGATGGACCGATATTGCCCATATCTGAACTCCAAATCGACTCCAAATGGGGCCGCATCAAGTGATATATACCCTAAAGGTATAAAAAAATCAAAAGTCTTTACCTAGAGGTAAAAGTCTTTAACCTAAATTTCCTAACAACCACTCGACCGAATTTTGTAAAGTATTGCCAGAACGATGCAGCTCCCCGAAGTCTTTTTATATTAAATTTTGGCCGGGGAACTTAGCCTCTGAAAATAAAGTAAGCTTGATAGCGCCTAACGTTTGTAGAAAAAATGACAAGATTTACACCTAGTCAAAATTGTATGTGTCCTCTAGATAGCCTATCAAAAACTCCATGAATTTGTTCTGAATTTTGAATTTCCACTGTTTATGACAACCTTAATAAATGCAAATTCGAAATATCTGAGTATGTCATAAATCACTATTAGCCACAGAAGTTTTGAGATTACTCCGCCTTGTGGTGTGCTCTTTGGGACAAAAGTTCCATTGTACCAAGATGGAGACAACATCATGCTTTGTATGAGTTTTGTACATAGGTTTTCATATAGACTGCGGATCTTCTTTATTGATCTTTCTTTTAAATAAGAGATAATCCTGAATAATTGTGGATCCTGAAAATATTGCACCTATGTTTGGCTTAACCCTGTTTCTTTTCACAATGTTAAAAAATAAGAACCCACTCCCCTCGATAAACATATGCATGTTTGTTGATATGTAAACCAATTATGATATGTGGTAAAATTTAATTAGAAAACAATTTCTGTTTACCTAGCCATCCACCACTGAATATTGATTTCGTCAATTAAATATTTGCAGGCCATGCATTCCCGAACTAATTTGTTTATTTATTTACAACAAAGCGTAGGTACATCAGTAAATATTACAAATATTTCCCAAAGGCATTTAATCAGAAGTGATATTAAATTATTGAATTTACTTTTTAAAGTAGACATACTCTAACTTCCTCTCATTTTTATCTCCCTCCCCTTGTCTGTGGAAAAACCTCCCACATTAAATGTTTACATTTCTAAACATTTCAAATCCACAGCTAATTTGCCATGGTGACAAGCGAGCAAATATTTACACGTGTATAATTATCATTATAATAAATACACATTATGTTTACTTTGTAATTTTATATTGTTTGTGTTTGTTTGTTGCAGATTTACAGATTTTGTTTGAATAGGGGGATTTGGGAGTGGTATGATCAAACTGGCCGTGGGTATATTACATATGCACAGAGAATGTTTAGTTCACTGGGATACAAGGTTATTATCTGAGAGGGCGAGAACATCCAAGGGAGAGATTAGGAAAGTAAAATTATATGGTATCTCCAATTCGAAAGACATTTGTAATTCATTTCGAAATTATCAACCAAATTTTTCAAATTAAATGAAAATTAATTAATTAATTAATTAAAATAAATTTTCAAAAAAATAATAATAAATAAATAAAAAAATAAAATCCTTTAAAAATTCTATTACAATCTTAAATATACAGAATATAGCCGTTATACTGGGGTCTATACGAAGACGTGGACCTGCATAGGCAACTTTTGTCATAAGCCATTACAATATTCAAGCATGAAACTTAAAAAAATCTGGCGAATAATGTAGCTAAAATCATCAAAATACTGAATATAGGAACGAACCGTTATATCGGGGCTATACGAAGACCTGGACCCGCACTGACAATTTTCTGTCACAGGCTGTAGTACCTATTAGTAACTTAATGGACCTATACAGACATTTCTCTTCCAGGGAGTAAAATGCTTAGAAAGAACTTCTAGTATGGATTTTTAGACAATGTCATTGAAAATGTAGCTAGAATCATCAAAATACCGGCAGATATCGTTATATGGGGAATATACGATATCGTGGACCTATATATCTTCCAGGTGGTAAAGTACTCAGAAGGAATTCCTTTTGTAGATTTGCAGAGAATTTCATTCAAAAATTTGGCTACAATCATCAAAATACGTATAGCGGGAGTAACTTATATATGGGGGTTATACGTTATCGTGGACCTTTATAGCCCATATTCGATCTCGACCTGCCTGCAGACGAAAGACTGATTTGTGCAAAATTTTAGTTTCCTATCTTTATTCGTTTTGACTCTAATATTTTTTTTTGGATATAAATATACAACGGTGGCGCCCAATTGACAATATCAGCCGATTTCATGTTTTTTATACCTTCAACCATATGGCCAGAGAGGGTATATATCATTTGATACGGTCAAAAGGTGCCTAGTCGAAATAACGGCTTTAGACTCTAGGTGTCTTTGGACCAAATCCGTTTCAGGACATTTGGAGTCGATCTAGCGATGTTCGTACGTCTGTCTGTTTGGCAGGATTTGCGCACGATAACTCTCGAAAGTGAGTATCCGATTTGGTCCAAACTTGGTACATCGTAATATTATTATCAAACTTAGATCGAGTTTGGAGATGGCCAATATTGGACCACTCCTTCTGGTACCTCTCCCCAAAAAAGGTCAACATTTTCACAGAAAATTATTTTCCTTATAGAAGAAGAAAG